TCCATAACCTCTGTTCCCTTGATATGGGTGATGTTTATTCTCCATAGGACACTGAACCTTGGGGCTCTCTCTAAAATTCTCAGGCCCTGGGAAGCCTGGGCTCATCTCCTCTGCCTACTGTCACCTCCTCCCACAACGATTGCTTCTGGGTTAAGATCTAAGATAATCACATCTAGCCCTCATGCTGGGACCCATATTGATCCAGAGGAAAAACTCACGTTTCTTTTGCCCACTGACCCTGAAACAGCCATCAGGGCAGCAGCCACCTGCCACCTGCTCTTTGGATTTGTGGGCATGGATCCTTTGCCTGTGCCCTATGACCTCAGGACCATTGTGGCCACATACTAAGCCATCCTAGGGGGTCTCTTTCAAGCCCCACTCTCTGGATTTGAGGCAAAGGCCATGTCCCCTTCCATGCTTCCACTGAGGGTCCACTGGACCCTGAGGCTCTCTCTAAAATTCCTCTTTAACCTCTAACAACCAGCGGTAGGTGCCTGGCACAGAGCATGTACTCAGCAAGTGATGGTCACGTGTGATCCCATCCACAGCCCCCCACTTGCACTCACTCCATCATAATTATATTTGGCTTTAGCCCAATTTTATGTTTTCTTTAGACTAATGCTTGTTGTGGTGATGGTGGAGGTAGTAGAGATTTAATTTTTTTGTTTTTATTTTTTTAAGATTTTATTTATTCATAAGAGACACAGAAGAGAAGCAGGCTTCATGCAGGAAGCCTGATGTGGGACTCGATCCTGGGGTTCCAGGATCATGCCCTGGGCCGAAGGCAGGCGCCAAACTGCTGAGCCACCCAGGGATCCCCGGTAGTGGAGACTTTAATTTGCTATTATCTCCTGCAGTTATTTGGAAAATCGATGTATTGCTTTTAATTCTGCGAGTGCTTAGCCTACATTTTTTCAAATATATCAGTAAGCCTACTTATCTCACTTGAGTCATGTAGAAATGGGGCAGTGGTCTTTGTATTTTCTGCAGTTCTTTAAATGGGAATTTCAGTGGGCACCGTCTGGCCACTGACACTTATGTTACCCTTTTGCCATCATGTCTGCTCCACACCTTTGAAACAGCACTGAGCTCTGGCTTAGGGCCTGCTCATCTCTGTCCTGGACTTTGCCAAGAGCCAGCCAGCAGCTGTCAATACATCTGGCCTTGTCTCCCTCTGTCCTCCATTTCGTTCCCTATTTATATCTTTCTACAAGTACATCTGGGCAGGTGACTCTTGGCTTGAAACCCTTTAGTGGTTCCCTGGTGGTTATAGATAAAAATCAGACTCTTCAGCCTGGTGTTCAGGGTGCTCTGTGATCTGGTCCCACCTTAACTTTCTAGGCCCTTCTGCCGCTTGGAACCATTCACCTACATGCTATCATATGGGTTTGCATTTTGGTTAGCAACTGCATTGGTCACTTGTTCTCATATCCCCGTGGCTTGCTCACGGCATCTTCTCTGTCTAGAACGCTCTCGGGTAAAAGAGCCCAGCTTGGCACTGGGCCAGTTGTAGAATCTCAGTAACCGGTAAGCTTCCCTCTTCCTTTCTTATCAGTCTATTAAGATCCACTCATCCTTCAAGAACCAATTCCAATGTCGTCTTTGTCACTCTCAGGAGAGACCTGCCCTACCCTGACTTCCCTCCCGCTGGTACCACTAGCTGTGCCTCCTCCTTGCCCCCAGCACGTTATACACCTGTGTTGTAACCCTAGCACCTTGGAGTTTTCCATCTCTCCTGCCAGGCTGAAGGCTCCCTGAGAGCAGAGCTGGGCCTGATGCCTGCCACAGCCCTGCACAGACCTGTGCGCCCAGGCTGGTCTAGTCCACGTCTGATTGACTTGAATCTCCTTCCTCGGCCTGCAGAGTTGCAACACTAGGCAACCAGGCAGGGCCTCTTGGGACTTGGTGCCCAATCTGAATAGATACTTATTATCCATATCCTGCTGCTTCCAAAATGGATTAGAGGTGGGCCACACTCAATAAAACTGTTAAATTAGAAACAGAAAAATCTAAGGCTCCACATGGAAGTAGCAAGGTGCCAAAAAAAGGTGCTAACCTCCTTCCTTGGGTGAAATAGTCTTGCTGAGAGGACCTCAGGCATCCTCTAGCTGGGGTGGCGGATGTGAGGGTCTCTTTTGGGCTAAACTCTTGCACTCCCCTCACAAACTGTGATCATGTTTGAAAATGCTAAAAGGCAACAAGGAGAATTTAATTCACCCTTGAAGGATTTGGAGAGGTGGTGAGGCGGGAGTTGGGTTTGCCATGTGGCAGCACTTTGGTAGAGATCACCTCATTCTGCAGGCTAAATTTGAAAAGCTTAGGCCCTTAAGGGTCACCGCATAGCACAGCTGTATTTTAACCATGGCCTAGTACAGTATACCTCATGTGGCTTTCTGGAGTGGCTTTTCGATGGACACCAAGGGCATACTCTTAAAATGTCAACCACGGAAGCTATTGGAGCAGGAAAACCCATCGCCAGTTCTGAGTTGAGTGGGAACACTTACACACCCCTAGAACTCATGGAAGCACATACTTAGATCCTCCCCATGTACACCAACACACCATCCAACAAATGTTCTTGTGCAGACCCATTCGGGGCAGGGACGCCCCTCACACACATGCTCATGGGTACATGGCACACAGTCCCAGTGGCTCTCACACATCCCATGGGCACGCGCAGCCTCTGCAGGAAGAGACATGGGGAGCTGTCTTATTTCTGCACCTCACTCTGCCTCCAGATTTTGCTCCCTTAGGACAGAGCCTAAAGTTTCTATTTAATAGATTCAATTACTTTAGGCTCCTGAGACCTTCCAACTTGATTCTGATTGCTTTAAGGTGTCAGATCATTTGGGAAGAATTGGGGAGAGCAGCCTCAAATTCTGGAAGGGGAAGTCTTCCAGGCTCTAGGTGTCACGGAAGTGGTAGCTGCTGACTGCAGTTTGGGGAAGGATGGTCTGGAGTGTGGACCAGCCTCTTGTTGCTAGGCCCTAAAGGACAGAGGCCCTGAGGGTAGTGCTTTGGCCTCCAAGGCAAGAACCAGTCCCTTTCTGCTGATCTTCCTGGGAACCCGACAAGTGGAACCAAGGCCCATGCCAAGTGTCCCAGCAGGCAAGGAAACAGCTCTGTTTTCTGCCCTCTGCCCCTCATTCTGGAGTGATTTCTTTGGTCTGCTCTCTGTCCCCTTGACAATGATAGCTCTTGGAGGTTGATAAGTAATCTGAGATAACAGCCTTCAGAGAGTATGGATGTTGTGCCAGGCAGAGGTGGATCTGTCCTGTCCTGCGCTCCAGAAACCTGCAGAATGAGACCGGGTGTGTGGCATGTGCGCTACATGAACCATGCTAGGCAGAAAGGAGACTAAGGGCAGGGGCTGTGGGCTCAGACTCTGTGAATCTTAGCTTCACCATTGGACAGCTCTATGACTTTGGGCAAGATCTTTGCCTTCTCTGTGCCCCAGTTTCTTCTGCTATGAAATGGGTATGATAATAGCATCCACCTCCTAGGGTGGTTGTGAGGATGAAATGAGTTATAGTGTAGAGAGCACCTGGACTCAGCAAATGCTCCAAACATTTTGGTTATTGTTTTTACAGTTAATAGCAAAGGCCAGGTGGGAAGGCAGGGAGAGTCCTGGGGTGGGGAGTCCTGGCTGTGGACCTAGGGCAGCAGGATGGGGCCTTCCCTCAGCCCAGCTGGTTCTTCTCTCACCCTCTCCCACCCGGTCGTGCAGTCATGCTGGCCTATTTCGCACCAGAGGATCCCCACATGGACCCTCTCTGGCATGGTTGCAGGGGGCGCATGAGGACACCCACCTGGAGCATGGGGACTGTGCCCCTCGGCAGACCCCTGGCCCGTTTCCTGTCCTCTCCTCCCCAGCTGGGGATTCTCTATCTCTCAGCTATCATCATGCCATAGCTTGCTTTAAAGTTGGTGTGAGTCACAGCCAAGACCTCCTTAGTACTCAGAGACTTTAAGATGACCTTTGTTAAGAAGTTTTTTGCCTCCTTTTACGTATGGCCCCTAGAAAGCACTTTGGAGGACAGAGACCTTGGTTCCATTTCAGCTCCATCGCTTTGTAGCTTTTTGTCCTTGGGCATCTTAGCATTACTGACGCTTTATTCTCCGGAAGTAGGAATAAAATACATGCCTCTCAAGGCTGTTGTGGAGCTTAAATAATATGAATTTATGAGGGCTGGGAATTCAATAGACAGCATATGTTATTCTTCTCTTGACTGCTACGGCTTAGAGGGGGAAAAACCAGCTGCTGCGAGGAAGCAGCTCCCTTAACAAAAAAAAAAAAAAAAAGCCAAAGGTTCCCCCCAGGCCCGTGAAGGCGCGGGTGGGGAGTGGAAGGGGCAGAGCGGGGAAGGCCAGCCCAGCCTCCAGGCTTGGACCTGCAGGTTTCCCGGGACCTCTCTCCGGTTCCTTTCAGGCCTCAGCCCCTTTCCGCACCGAAAGATCCCACCCCCGCTGCCCCGGCCATCCCCCCCTGAGCCGCGGGCCCCGTCCCTCAGGGGAGCCAGGTAAGCCAGGAGGCAGGTAGGAGTTAGAAACAGCCCCGCCGGGCGGGGCCAGAAACTGAGGCTGGGCGGGCGCGCGGGGCGGCCGCGGGGGCCCAGGGTGGGCGAGGGCGCGGCCACGTGGGCGGGGCGGGCGCCCCGGGGTTTGGGGAGGGGGCGGGGCGGGGCCCAGCGCGGCCCGGGGGGTCTCGGCCGAAGGCGGGCAGGGGCGGGGCCTCCGCCGCCACGCAGCGCTCCGGCCCCTGGGCGCGGGCTCGAGCCCCTCCGGCGGCGCCGGGCGGTGCGGTGCGGGTCGGGCCGGGCCGGGCCGCGCCGCCTCCCGGGCCTCCCCCGCCCCCTGCACCCCCCGCCCCCTGCACCCTCCGCCCCCTGCACCCTCCGCCCCCCGCCCCCCGCGCGCACACGCCCGCCGCGGGCCCGCGCACTCCGCCGAGTCGCCCATCGCGCCGCGCAGGCAGCCGCTCGCCGAGCCCGCGGCCGGGGCCCTGGCGTGCAGTGCGGGCCTCGGCGGGGCCCAGCGCCCCGGCCCGGGAGGATGCGGCCCGGGGCGGCCCGGGAGCTGAGCAGGGCCCCCGCGCCGGCCCCCGCGGGCCCGGGCTTCCAGAGCCGCAGCCGCCGCCCCGCCCCCGGGAGACATGACTTCCAAGCCGCATTCCGACTGGATTCCCTACAGGTACGCGGGCGCCCGTCCCCTCCATCTCCCCTTGAGCTCCGGGGGCGCGGGCTCGGGGCCCCTCCGCCCGCGCATCCCACACTGCGGGCGCGGCGCGGGCTGGGGGCGCGGGCTGGGGGCGCCGGGCCTTCCCTCCCCAACTTTGGGCCGCGGGCGGACCGAGCCGGGGGCGCCACCGCTCGTCGCCGGGGTCGCCGGAGGGGCCGGAGCGCGGCCTGTGTGGGCCGCGCTGGGCCGGGCAGCGCCATGTGGCCGCCCCGGGAGCAGCGCGCAGCCCCGAGCCCCCCCAGGCCCAGCGCGCCGGGCCACACGCCAGTATAGCCGAGCAGACACCCTTGCGGCTGCACCCCCGGGGGTGCGTCCGGGCCAGGGATGCTCCTGCTGGTCTGTTCACACCTCAAAGCATGAGTTCCTGGAGACCGTTATTCTGGACCAAGGGCACGGGCTGCTCAGGCACACATGCGCCCTGTACGTGCGCACACAGACGCCCGGGCTCACAGGTGTACTCCTACTCTCTGCACATACACGGCCTGTGTTTGGACAGTAGCTGACGCCCCTCCCCACTCACAGGTACCATTCATATCGGAGACTCCAGTCCCCTCCATCTATCCCTGGACGCATACCAACTCCCCGCGCCCCACTGCCTGTACAAGCACAGGAGCACTCACGAAAGCACGGCTGCCCTGTGTTCCCAGACTCTGTGCTCTGTCCCAAGGATAGATGGGCCTTGCCAAGTGCCTGGGGGTCGGGGTGGGGGAGGGGTGTTGGGGGGCTTCTCACATAGGTGCAAGCCTTTTCCCATCCACTCTTCATTCTCTCCATTACCCCTGGAATAGAGCTCATCGTCATGGCAGCACCAGATCCTTGGCCACCTATTGGCTCCTGGTTGCCACGGGCTACGGGGCTGTCGCTAGGCCTCCCAGAGAGGCATGTGTGTAAAATGGGTGCTGAACTGCTAAGGGCCACTATGTTATTGCCGGCAGAGGTGCACATGCCTGTGGGTTGTAGGAGCAGACCCTCAGGACCTGCCCTGTAACACAGCCAGCTCTTGGGAAGGGACCTGATTCTACTCAGATGGAAAATACTTCTGACGGAGCTCCTTTAGGAGTCTGTCCAGACAGCATCCAAAATGGAAACCAGCCGAAACCGCCTGAAGCTTGTTAAAAGCAGATCCTTTTGCAAACAGGCACCTGCCACTGACCTGAGGATTCAGGGTTTCTCTTGAGAACTGTTGTCTCTAAGCTCTTTGGGGGTTTTAGGGCTTCCTAAGTTAAAATTCGTGGGTGCCCCTCCCGCCAACATACACACGTGCACACACACACGAGTTGCCCATAGGGTTTCCAGCAGACATCATGCAGTCACATCTCCGAGTCTCCCATAGATCAGGGAGGTATTCCCATCGGGAGACTGGGGCTTTGCTGACTCAGAAGAGCTGCTACCCCGCCCCCGGCATCCAGGGCTAGGGGTGTAGGTAGTTTCTGGAGCATCCTGGCTTGACACATCTTTGCTGAGGACCTCCTAGAAGACCGTGCAGCCCCATGGAGTTAACCTTTCCTAGCCACCCAGCAGAAGTGCCTGTGTGGTGCCTTTGGGCTGAGTAGCCTCCTATGCTGTGGAAGTGCAAGTGTGGGGGAACACGTGGCAGGGTGGTGGCCACAGACTGAGTTAGAACAGAGGGAAGGGACGGCACTTGTGGCTGTAGATACGATGGCGTGTTTAGGATTTGGCACACTAGGGGCCAGGCCAGATCATGGTTCAAGGAAGCCTCTTCCAGGAGCCAAAGACCAAAACGATGTGTAGATTAAGTGCACAAGTCTTAGAGAAAGCCTTCCTCTAGGAAGGGGGTCCCTTGGGAGGTAGGGTGGTCTCTGGGAAATGGCTTTGTCCTTCAGAGGTGCCCAGTGCACTGGCATCCTTGAAGGGGGTGATTTGGCACTTGCCTCAGCCTAGGCCCAACCACCTTGTCCCCCCATTCCTTTCTTGGGCCCATATGTGCCCCCTGGAGCACAGAATCGTATCACCATGGAAGCCCATCCCTGAGGAGCAGCTTGGCACCCTGTGATCCTACCTGCTTGCTTTCCCATTGCTGTCACCCCTGCCTTCTTGCTCTATGGCAAGGAGGATGGTTCTCAAGCTGGGGGCAGGCCATGGTCTGAAGTTGCCAGAATCTCTCTCCTGCCTTGCTGGGGTCTTTCTGAGCCTGCCTGACTTCCAGAGTGGGGTGTAGACTTCCAGAGTGGGGAGACCTGCCTGAGCCGAGAAGAGATGCAAATTGCCTCTCGCATGAACTGGGCTGCTGATTGCAGTATAAGCCACATGCCTGTGTGATCACAGAAAACTGGGGCAGAAGACAGGCAAGGCCGTTTACTTGCAGCTGAGGGGGATGGGCACGTGTGCATGTGCTCTGGTATGAGGTGTCCCCAGTGTCACAGCGTGTCAGAACTGGAATGTGGTATTTGGTTGAGGGGAGAGAGGTCGGTCGATTTCTCGTTAGCTCTCCTGGTGGGGAATTCCCTCCCTCTGGGGTGGCTGCACCTGCGTTCACTAGGCCTGGCTCATTTTCTTTGAAGCAACTGCCAGTTGGTGATAATCTTCTTAAGGGTAATTGTGGCTCAGTTTATAATGATCATGGATTAATCTCACATTCTGACTCAGAAGGGAGGCATTTAGTTTATAAAGTTGAACAACTGGAATTTTGTTTTGCCTTTTGTTTTTTTTTTCTCTTATTACGACTGTTAATAATTTTTCACTTTTGCCATTTTTCTCTTCATCCGAGTTCTTCTTGCATGTTAAATGCCCCTCATTCCTGGCTTCACAACCATTTAGGATTTGCAGGTGGAACGTTAAGAGCAAGGGAGTGACGGGCGGCCCTGTCCTCAGTGCTTTGTCTCCATGGTCCTGTGGCCGTTGCCCCCCACCAGGCCCTGAACTCCTGGAGAGCAGGGACCCCTCTGGTCCTTGGCTGTGTGCCTGGTGTGACCCAGCATAGACAAGACGCTTACTACTTTGAATCAAAGAGACATCCCCAGATAGCTTTGAGGGCTTTCTGGCTTTACCGGCTCCACACCTGGGTTCTTAGCACACCCAAGGGATGTAGTACTGCCCTCAGAGAAAGGAGTACTGCTGGAAAAGCATGGCCCTCGTCAGAGAATGAGAATTTCAGCTGGAAGGGCCCTTCCAGGCCGTCCAGGCCCCTGTGTGAATGCTCTCTTCCATCACATGGCTGTGACCATGAGGAAGCTCTTCCTTGGGGTGAGCCTCATCATGCCTCCGGGTTTTCCCTCCTCTAGGCTCTTGTTAGGGTCCTCCCACCACTTCAGACTATGCTTTTGGGGAGTAGAAAGACTGCTGACCAAGCAAGACCTGGCTCTTTCAGTTCTGCTGTGTGGGAAACCTCAGGGTACCCTGGATGCAAGGCCGGCCGCTTCTCCTCTAGCAACAGGGAGGAGGAGCAGAATCACACTACTCCCGTCCCAAGCCTGCTCCTTCCCGCGGGAGGAGCAGGAAACATAGGGTTGGTAGAGAGGCCTCGGGGAGCAGGGGCCCTGTGGGTACCCTCGGGTTGGTCTCTGCCCTTCTCAGGCACTGGTCTGGAGCCACATGCAGCATGGGGGGGGGGCGGGGGGGGCAAGGGGGAGGCTATTACTTCCTTGCTTGGCTCCTGTTGTTGACCTTGAGTCCTCAGTGTCATGAGGGACGGCTTCGGCTCACTGACTAGTCACCTTGAGGCCTCTGTAAATAGAACCCCAAAGCCTCATCAGGCTGATGTCAAGCCCTGTGTCCCCCACTCTGCCTGTGTAGGGAAGACCTGGGTTTGGGGACCCATATGTAAGACAATGACCTTCTCCTTTTAGGTTTCCATTGGCTAGACTCTGCTAGCTCTCCAGTGTCTTCTGACGTTGTACTGTCCTCATGAATGGCGGTTTAGTATCACTTCTATTTCGTGTCACCTATAAGTCTTCTGAGAGACCTGCCTTGTCTTTAGGTCATCAATAAACACACTAAGCAAGGGTCGCTGGAAACCTCTGATTATGGCATGCTTTATTTATTGTTGCAAAAACCTTTGAGCGTCATCTCATTGGAGGGGCGTGCCATTCACATTGCTTTATCTTGCCCACAAGTGAGTGTCACTGGTCCTTGCGATTCCCTATGGAAGCCTGCCGTGCTGTCCTCCCAGTTTCCCCAGAGAGGTCTGAGGGCGTGTGCCTGGACTTGCTGGTGACTGGGCTTGCTCCTGGGGACCACTGGGTCTTCTAGCTCTTCAGCTAACCTGTGTGATCTTACTTGGGGCCTACTAAGACTGGTTGATCTACAGGCTATGATTTCTTCCCCCATCCGAACAGAAGGCTGCATTTGCATACTTTCAACAACTCTCAAGTTTCCTTTTTGTTCCTTAGAGAGCACCAGCTGTGGCTCATGGTCCTCATTTGCATGACTGAACATTAAAATTATCTATGTTTCTTGCTTTAAAAGAGAAAGTGAGGCGAGGGATCAATTCTGGGATAACTTCCCTAGCAGTTCTGAGTCACCAAGTCAGGGCTGAGAGCCCAAAGCAGTTGTAATGCACTGGTTTGGGAGTCCGTGGCTGGAATGGGCTCATCTTGGGAGGCGGGGACTCCTTTCAGCACTGTGGGCTTCTCCCTTCTGGGGTGCTCCTGTTCCCACACCTGCTGTGTTCCCTGATGTTCCAAGCCGTCACTAGGCACAGATCTGGGCGTGCTGGGGTGAGGAGGGGTCTGGCACAGGTATGGGTCAGGTTGGGCCTGACCCTCTGGGTGGCCTTCCCTGCTCTGACAGGACATTTGCTTGCCTCCCTGGGTCCAGCAGGGGCAGAATCTTCTGTGAGTGGAAAGAATGAGGGCATAAAAGGGCAGGGTGAATTGGGCATGAAGTCTGAGCCTGTCTCTAGGTAGCCTGGCCCCCAGGCCTCTGGTTGGTCTGCTCTGGTGGCCTAGCCGAGCTCACAGGGTGGAGTCTCGAGAGGCAGGGACCCGGCTTCCTAAATGTGTTCTCCGCGTCTGGCTTTTCCATCCCGAGAGAGGAGTGCCTCTGCTCTCATTTGTTTTCAAGCATGGTTTTCTCTCCAGACATCTGTTGGGCAACTTGGCGGAAGCAAGGGGATACGGAGGGGCTGTCTGCCTGAGGCCAAGGGGCCACCTCGTTGGCCCTGGGCAGGGTGGCTGGATCGATGGACACAGCAGACCAAGTTTCTGTGACCCCCACAAGCCAGTGGCCGGTGCTTCCCTGGATCTCCCCAGTCTGGTCCCCAGCAGGAGGCGACTGTGATGAAGATGCCGCCAGGGTCAGCTGGAGGACCCATCCATCAGTGCCCTGTCTCCTGTCCGAGTCTCCTGGCGGGGCTGCAGCTGGCAGCCTGGGCTTGGCAGTGATTCCATAATTGGAGCCCGAGTTGTTAAAAAGCCATTACTGTCTCCTCTGTGGTTATCATTTAGTGCTGCCCAGAACGGTGCCCATCGGGCAGAGACAGGCCGGAGACAGTGTCAGAGAGAAAGGAAGGTGCTCTCGTGGGAGCTGAGGGGCAGGGCCACCCGGGGGGCTGGGGCGGGGGCCTTCGCCGCGGTTCTCCGCAGCCGCTGGGCTAGCGGGATTTGTTATCCGCCGGGGACAGACGTCCGCTTCAGACACGGTGCTGACAGGCAGGCCAAGCTCGTCCCCGCTGGGAGACCGTGGTCTCCTCGGACTCTGGCCGCTTTCCTAGAAACCGGGCCGGAGCAGGAACCTGCCCCACTGTACGGGGCCAGCGCACGCAGGTGCACGGACTCCCGGCCCTCCTGCGTGGGGCCTGCTCAGCCAGGCACGTTCTTACTCCCTGGGCACAGGTGGCTTCTCCCACCTGCGCCCCCCAGCCTGCATCCCCCCCACCCCCAACCCTGCTGCTCCAGTGTGCCTGGGAGTGAGCAAGGCGGGGGTGGCTCTCTAGGCACTTCTGGGGTCTCTTAGTTTTTGGACTCTCACCGGAAGCTTACCCCTTGTTCATCCATCTTTCTGTGAAGGCCATTGGTGAAGTCCATTCCACCTAAAATCCTTCCAGATAACCAGCAGTACTGAAACCTGCGGCTCTAGGTCTTTCTGCCCCACCAGGGAATGGGGGTGGGGCCAGAGAAAGAAGAAAGCAGCCTTCTTGCCTAAGCGTGACAGGTGGAAAGTCCATGGCAGTGGGACAGTAGCCTGGAGTAGGAATGTGCCCCCCACCCACCGTGCAGATTAGGACACTAGAGGCACTGGGCAGCAAGGCCACCACAGCTGGAGCTGCCTCTGTCCCATCGAGCTGCCACCGTGACCTGGCAGTTCTGGAGGCGGCTCTGCTCATGTCAGCGTAACTCTCAGGTGGATGTCCCCTGTCCTGCATGCCCCTAGATGTTTGCGTCAGCACTATAGAAGGCGTCGTCTTTGCCCTGCTCACCAAGCTCAGTACCGGGATGACCCAGACGACTGGCCCTGGCCCTGCCCTACAAAAGTGCAAGTGACTCACATGCTCCCAGTGCGCCCCGGAGCGGCCTCCTGCTAGCAGGAAGCGGAGCTGGCAGGCTCGTGGAGGTGACATGGGCTCCTGTGGCCCAGCCACTAGCACATGACTGGGATCACGGGCTACCGTGTGTGTACCCAGCCCCGGAGCTTGGCAAGCGGAGCGTGGTTGGCTGTCAGGCCCCGTCCTTCCTGTCAGCCAGGTGCCGCGTGGAGTTCAGATGGCGGTTCCTGTCTATGTCCTGCGGGTTTTAAATGCATACGTGTTGCTCGTGCAGCAGACCCCGGCGGACGGTGGTGTTTGCAGAGCCTCTGAAGTCTGTGGGAGCAGATGATTTTGCCCTGGCGTCACTCAGTCGGGCCAGTGACTTGAGGTAGAGACACCGGTGGCAGGGTTACAGCCCTCAGACCTGGCAGGGCCCCCGGGCATCTTGCTCCCTCCAATAAATGCATCCTCCAGAACTCAGGCTGCCGCCCTCCGGCCTGTGGCGTCTGCTTTCCCTGATGCGGCACTCACTAGCCCAGCCAGCCTGAATTTTGAGGAGCTGGTTCCCTGTCGCCTGGTCCTGGCAGTGCCCTCAGGGGGTCCCTCGTGCAGCTCTGGACTCTTTTAGGTGGACTGGGACCTTGACTTAGAAGCACGTGTGTTTAGTAGCATTTTCTCTCGTGTTCTGGCAGCCAAGCGTTTTGGAGAATAAGCCTGGGAACAGCCCCGGATCACAGGCAGGCGGGACTCCTCTTGAATGCAGAGCAGCCTGTGGGTATCGGGGAAGGTGTCCAAGTCGGCGGCACAGCTGCCAGTTACAAGTATCCAGTTGTCCTAGGTGGTGGCCCCGGAGGCGGGTGGTGGGCTGAGTAATCCGACTTCCTGCCACCCTTGGCTGGCTCCCCCAGCACGCGGACACACAGCTAGTTTGGGTGAGCTGAAGGGACATTGCAGGTCAACGATCCTTCCAGCCAGAAAGAGCCGCTGTTGTCAGGAGGCGGAACCGGCCATTACCTTGTCTTCAGGGCTGCTTGCCCTCATCTCTCCTCCTTACACACATTCCGTACTCACCTGCTCACAAGCACACCCACCTCTTGCGCAGGTGTTCGTATGCATAGACATGCAGGTGTGTGCTCACACGTGTTGATGTACTCCTATATCTGGACACCTCCCAGTGTGCGCACACACATGAGATTACTTAGGGCTTCATGTACCGATCTGATGTACTCCGGCTGCCTGTGCAGGTACCTACACAAGGCCTGGTTCAGGGGCAGGCTTCAGTATAACTGGGCCAGGGGTAGTCTGGGGGTTCCCAGGGCTCAGATCCTCAGGCTCCATCCCTACTCCCTAACCTTGGCTTTTTAGAATTGGCCTACGTGTCTCGTGTGTGTGTCTTGGACTAGAAGGAATGCTAAGTGGTTGGAGCTCCCTAATTGCACTTGTCTTCCTGGGAGGCAGGTCCAGTCTATGTGAGATGACACTGCCCGTTCCAGGACCTTTAGGGACTTAGGAGTTTAATGCCCTGGTGCCCCCACACCATATTGGCTGGTTGCTGGGCAGTGCACTGAGGTGCTGCGTCTGCCTGCAGACATCCCCACCCAGCCCTAGTCCTGCCTGCAGGGACTGGCTGGTCTTTTAGCTTCACTCTCCCAAATGAGGGGCCCTCCTTTAGAGGGGACATTCCACTACCTGGAGAGCCAGGAGGTTGACTACAAAAGAGTCTGCCTGAAAGGATCCAGCCTCCTCCAAAAAGGATGGAAAGACAAGGGAGGAGCTGGTGAGATCGAGAGGGCCTAGAGCAGATAGGCGCCTAGGTCTGACTGAAGCCCAGCCTTGGGGCTGGCTTGCACCTGATGCCTCTGGACAGGCTTCCCTGGATCTTAGTCATGTCCCTGCTCGTAGGCCCAAAGGGAAAGTCTCCTCCTGTACTTCCTGGCTGGGCTAATTCCGTGGATCAGTGGGGTTTCCAGCAAGAGAAAGCTCATAAGATAGCAAAGATAGAGCACACACCTCTGTCTGCAGCCAGATAGTGGCTCCACCCTTCTTGCCTCTCCTGTGTACCTGGGAGTCATGATGAGAGGGGTTTAAAGAACCCAGATGTGCCAGGGGCGGGCTCTGGGCTCCTTCCTGGCAGCCTACAGGCAGGTCCTGAGTGCCCCCCTCTCCCTCCGCAGTGTCTTAGATGATGAGGGCAGCAACCTGAGGCAGCAGAAGCTGGACCGGCAGGTGAGTGGGGCCAGGGCCGCGTGGCCGGACAGTCAGCACTTACCATTCTGGCCAGAATCTCCAAGGGTGGAGAGGGAGGACTGTCTCCTTTCCGGGAGGTGACCCAAGCTAGTGGGGTTGGGGGTGGGGTGGGGACAGGCTTTTGCAGAAGAAAGCAAGCTCTCTACCAGCTCAGCATCAGCACTGCCCCAGAAGCCAGGGCTTTTCCCGGCAGGCAGCTGGGTCCCTGTAGTCGGAGCACTGGACGTCTGTGCCGTGGTCCTGCCAGGGCAGTTGCCTGGGCCGACTTCTGCCTCCTTTTCCTGGACCCTGAGTCTCCAGGTGCTGAGGGCATGAAGCCGTGGCCCATAGTGGGCCGTGGACCCCATTGCAACCTCTAGGACTGAGCTGAGTGAGCAGGGCCTTCTCTTTGGTCCCCGTCGGGAGCCTGCCCTCTGGGTGGAAGTGACAGGCTGCCCTCTCAGGGCCCGCCAACTTCTGTGCCTGTCCGGTGCCTCTGTAGCGGGCCCTGCTGGAGCAGAAGCAGAAGAAGAAGCGTCAAGAGCCCCTGATGGTGCAGGCCAATGCGGATGGGCGGCCCCGGAGCCGGCGGGCCCGGCAGTCGGAGGAGCAGGCCCCCCTGGTGGAGTCCTACCTCAGCAGCAGCGGCAGCACCAGCTACCAAGGTACGGCCTGCCCTTGGGGCAGCCTGGGGAGGCCCCGGTGCCCTGGCCTCACACCCTGGCACTGCTTTGGGGCCCCCCGGGGATTTCCTGCCGGCCGGGGCAGGTGAAGGGTTCCTCCATTCCCCATCAGAGAATGCTCGGGCCCAGAACCCCCTCCGAGCCCAGGCAGAGGGCTGCGGGCCCAGGGAGGCTGGGGCCCCTGCATGTGCTCTGGCGTCCGGAGGCCTTGGGAGTCACAGAAGTCACTGCTGTGCAGTTGCTTTGACAGGTGTCTCTTGAGCACCGACTGTGTGCCCGGGGCAGGGCCGGACCTGCAGAAAGACTGCAGCCCCTCTGCAGAGTGGATACCACCCAAGTCAGGAGACCGTTTCTAGTCACGCCCCTGTGGGGCACCTGCTCACTCGTGACTGTGCGCAAGTCCCCTCCCCTCTCTGGGCCGATTTTCTCCCTTTGTCAAGTGGAGGAAATCTCTGTCTTGGGGGTTTGCAAACTGAAGCTGCCATGGTGTGTTCCGCGGTCCAGTCAGCTGAATGCTGATCCCCGCCGAGACTCCAGGCCGTGGGGGGCTGAGGGGCTGGGGGGCTTGGGGGGGCGGTGCTGCTGCTGCTCCTGCTCCTGCTCCGGGGGTGCTGACCTGAGCACCGCCCACCCCCACCTGCGGCTTTAGCCGCCTCTGCTCTGCCCTCTGCTGGCTCTTGGTGTTAAACACAAGGGCACCATTTCCAGAGGATGGTGGGGGAGTTTGACCTGAGTCAGAGCGGTTTACCCCGGCAGGCAGTTTTTCATTGACCATGCTCGTTCATATATTCACTTCTTAAATATTTGTTGAGGGGTCACTTTGTGTCAGGCTCTGGATTAGAGGCTGAGGGTCCTGGGTAAGCACAAAGTGTGGTCTCTGTTCGTTCAGGGACCTGAAGGTCGGGGGGGGGGGGGGAGTTAAACAGGTAGTCACAGGTGTGCTTTGCAGGAAGAAACCAGGCTCTGTAAGTGAACAGCAGAGAACCTGCTCCCAGACTAGGGCCAGGGAAGGCCTCCCTGAGGAAGTGACGCCTGAGCTGGAATCTGCAGGTTGAGTGGGAGTTTAGTTGGGGCCAGAGGGCCGACGTCAATAGGACAGCCCAGGCAGTGGGACAACTAGAGCAAAGCCCCAGTGGCAGGAGGGAGTACAGTGTGAAGAGCCTGGTGGGGCTGGGGCTTGGAGTACTTGAGAGATGAGGGGTGCGTAGTTAAGGCCAGGTGGAAGGGAGCTGGAGGGGCCAGACTTGCAGGAGAATGTTGGTTTTCATCTTATGAGCAATGAGAAGTCGTTCAAAGACTTGGAGCAGGTTGGAGTTCTGATGTGTGGAGACTTTGGAGGCCACCCAGCTGTGACTTTGTCCCATGTGGGCCAGCACAGGCTCCCTGGAGTGCTGGCCATACTAGTTCTGGCTCTTCTAGGAGATGCAGCCTTGTCTGTCTTCACCACCGTGAGTGGCCCACATTCTCCCAGGCTCAAACAGTTTGCTGGCCCAGAGTTTTGACTGTAGTGCTTCTAGGTTGATCCTGGTTGGGCCAGCCTGTTGACTGGATCACACCAGGCTGGGGGAGCCACCTCCTTCCAGCCTGGCCTGCCTTGGGCGCCTTTGCCTTGTGGAGATGGGTGGTACAGAGGCCCCCATAGGGCTTGAGTGGTGGTGGGGCCCTCGGAAATGTGCTGAGAAGTGAGTTCCACTTGGAGTTCTGGTCTCACCTTGGGCCCATGTCTGTCTCTCTTCTTTCTTTTTTTTTTTTTTTTTTGCACTCCTTTTTTTTTTTTTCTGTCTTTCTATCTCTCCCTTTCCTTCTCCCTCCCCCCCCTTATCTCTCTCCCCCCTCCCTCTCCCTCCTTTGGGCTCTCTCCTGAGCAGTTCAAGAGGCCGACTCGCTTACCAGTGCACAGCTGGGAGCTGCCCGCCCAACAGCACCAGCCTCAGCCAAGAGAACCAAGGCAGCAGCGGCAACGGGGGGCCAGGGCGGGGCCTCCAGGAAGGAGAAAAAGGGGAAGCACAAAGGTTGGCTGGCCTCCACTACAGCCCTCCTCAGGAGGCCTGGCTCCCACTGGAGGGTTGGGGGGAGGTTTCCCCTCCAGACTTGGAGGTACAGGAGGTGGGAAGCCTCAGTGAAGAAACAGATGGCACCCAGGCCCTCACCCAACTGCCTCACAGGCTTCATGTGGCTCCTGGGGTTCCTGGGCTGGCTCCCCATGGTGCCAGGAAGTGAGGTGCATTTAACTGTATACGGCCCAGGAAGTCCCTCTGCCATCCCACCTGAGCACCCCTCTCTCTCTGTCCTGCCCCGGGACACTCCCTCTGGCAGGTCTCCCTGCCTCCGTAACAGCCTGCCCCACACGTGTACGGTTCTCACCGTGGCCATGTGGGTTTTCTTGACTCTGTTCTAGTCCTAAGTCCGCTTGCTGGGCCCCCAGACCAGTCTATTCTCTCTCTTCCTCTCTCCAGCAAAGATCCCTAGAGATTAAGGTGGCTCCTGCCACAGGTCCTGTCTGTGTCCCCATCCCTTGGGCATGGGCAGTGACTCCCAGGCCTCTGGGACTTGGTTGAACAGTGCTGTGTCGGGGTTCCTGGGCTTCTGGAGCTCCCTGCAGCATTTGGGGCCTAGCCTGGCCAGGCAGGGCGGCTGCCACCTGTGTGGGCCAGGCCTTCTGTTACGTGGGCACCTTGGGCAGACGGAGATGGGATGAGCGATCTTCCATTTGGGAAGGGGCATGGATGCCGACCCCCGTCTTTTTCAAGAGGCCCCCATATGTTTTGAACGATGGCTGTGAGTTACGGTTTGTGTGTATTTGTCCGTGTGAGAGACGATCAGCGCTGACAACCAGGAGCTGGCCGCGTCTGCGAGCGAGTGGTGGCCTTGGCCGTGGTCGTGATCCATCCTTGTTGGCCGTCTTGTCTCTTTCACCGTGCAGTTGGCTTTGCAGATGGCTGTCTTCTGCCTGGGGATCGAGGCACTGCAACCCTCAGCGACTAATCTGGGGGGACAGAAGAAACGAAGCCCATGTCCCTTTGTAGCTTATCAATCCTTAAGAGGCTGACGGCAGTCATTAGTTTTTTAAAAATGTTTTGCAAATAAAATTTTGTAGAGGATTCCCCCCCCCCCCGCCCCATCCCTCACCCACTGCAAGGGTGGGTGTCTGGGAGTCCGGGCTCTCCCCCCTCCCCCACCCCCTCCCCCACGGGACTCAGGAGTGTCCGTGGCCTGCAGGCACCAGCGGGCCAGCAGTACTGGCGGAAGAGAAGTCTGAGGCCCCAGGCCCGGTGCAGATCCTGACTGTGGGCCGGTCGGACCACGCCCAGGACGCCGGGGAGACGGCAGCCGGTGGGGGCGCGCAGCCCAGCGGGCAGGACCTCCGCGCCACGATGCAGAGGAAGGGTGAGCCCCGTGGGGGTTCAGTGACACCCCCAAAGCTCAGTCCCAGATTCTCAGGTGCACCCCTCTTGGGAAACATGGCCCTGGTAGGGGGCACAATTGGAGACCCGTGAGAAACAGGTGTAGGGGCCCCTGTTAAGGCCACGTTAGGGAAAGTGTGAACTAGGGAAAGCAACCAGTGGGCAGCCCGGCCCTGTCTCGCCACCTCCGTCTCCTGCCCCCGGGGACGCGCAGGTTTGGAGGCAGAGTTCCTTTTCCTTTAGTTTCTTTGAAAAAGGTCCTCTTGCAGAGTGTTTCCCCAACATCTGCTGAGCTCAGGGAGCCGGGCCAGAATGCCAAGGGACAGGGCAGGTCCCCCTGGGAAACCTGCCCAGAGAGTTTCCCCACCATGAGCCCTGCCCCAGGGACCCACCAGCACAGGGTGGCAGGGGGAAGCCCGGCAGTGCCACAGGTCCCAAGAGGTGAGGTTAGGGCCAGCTTCCTGGAGAAAGGGCCATTGGGGCAGTGTGAGGCTGGGGACAGCATTCCAGGTGGGGAGACCTGTGGAGCCAAAGGCTGCAGGCAAGCTGGGGAGGAGCCCGTGGGCCATGCACTGCAGGCTGGGCGCCGAGGGAGCTGGCGCCTCCAATGGGATTGCACGGCACGGGCCGCCGGAGCCTCTACTAGAAATGAAGCCTCCCAGCGCAGGGTCCGCTCCACTCACGCCTCGCTACCCAGGAGATGGGCACTGACTGCTGCAGAGGGGGGTCTCCTGGGAGGACTGAGCTGAAGCTGGGGAGGGGAGAGGGGGTTACCCCCTAGGGATGGTGACCCACCTCAGCTCATGCATGCTCTTGAGAGAACGTGTCCTTGCATATGTTTGGATGTGTGTGTGTGTGTGTGTGTACGCACGTGTGTACATATGGCCGTGTGTGTACGGGTGACTCAGGGCTTCTGAATGGGTATCTGGGCATGTGTGTGTGACCACTTGTCCCTTCCCATTCCTCTGCCTGGCCCAGGTGTCTCTAGCAGCATGAGCTTCGAAGAGGAAGAGGAAGAGGAGGATGAAAATAGCTCCAGCTCCTCCCAGCTAAACAGCAACACCCGCCCCAGCTCGGCTACCAGCAGGAAGTCCACCAGGGTGAGGCACTTCCCTGCCCAGCAGGAGTGTGGACAGCAGGCTTCAGAGGTCCGATCGTCCAGGTTGGAGGGAATGGGAGTGAAGAAACGGAGAGTTGGCTCTCTCAGGACCGGGCCTAGGTACTCTCAGGAGCTTTTCTGGGTGGGTCCCTCCTGTCCTCCTGTCCTGCCTCCCCTTCTCTTCAGCCTGGCCAGGAGTGGACAGGATGGCCCGGAGAACCTGCTCACGTCCTCCATCTCTGCCCAGAGATTGCTGAGGTGGGGGGAGGGCCAAGGAGCTAGCTAGCTAATGGCTGACCCCAGGGCCAGGATGGCCAGACCCACGCCCCAGGAACCCTGCAAGATGGGTTCCCACCATATCAGGGGGCAGCTTTGGGTCCCAGACCACCAGCTGCAGTTGCTCAGGGTCTCTCCCCTGTAGGAGGCAGCCTCGGCCCCAAGCCCGACAGCCCCAGAACCCTCAGCAGATGTTGAGGTCCAGGATCTCGAGGAGTTTGCACTGAGGCCGGCCCCCCAAGGTATCACCATCAAGTGCCGCATTACGCGGGACAAGAAGGGGATGGACCGGGGGATGTACCCCACCTACTTCTTGCACCTGGACCGCGAGGATGGGAAGAAGGTGAGGTTGGCTTGAGCCTGCGGTTTCACCTAGGCAGGCTTAAGGTGCTGTGGGCTGGAATGTGACTGGAGGCCTCAGGTCCAGCACTGTCCTTTCAGTTCACCAGAGGGACAGAAGTCTCTGTGCCTGGCCAGGGCATACCTTTGTGTTTACTGGGGCATCCTTGTGAGTGTAGCACACGTGCATACGCTCAGGAGCTGAAGCAGGGGAGAGGTGTGGGTGGGAGTTGCACCCAGGATGGTACCTGACTAGAGGTTGGGCCTGGAAAAGAGGTCACCTTTGGGAGGCAGCCCGAATCTCTTCAAATGACCTTGCTCCATTCCCCAAGGTGTTCCTCTTGGCGGGAAGGAAGAGAAAGAAGAGTAAAACTTCCAATTACCTCATCTCTGTGGACCCAACAGACTTGTCTCGAGGAGGGGACAGCTACATCGGGAAACTGCGGTACTAGTGCTCCCCCAGGAAGCTGGTCGGGGGGAAGGCAGGGCCACACTACAGAGAGGGCATGTCTTGTCCCTGAGGGAGGTCTAGGTCGGGGTCAGACCCTCTCCTAGAATCCTCTCTGTCCATCAGCTCCAACCATAGGCCCAGGTCTATGCCAGCCTAGAGCACACTTGGAGATGGAGCTCACATACCCTACCGAGCTGCTTCTAGACAAATAGGACACAGGCCCACCAGGAGGGACAGGTCAGACCTCAGGAAGTCACTGAAGATGTAGGCCACCAGGGAAGAGCTGCCTTGCCCTGTGCCCCACGGTCAGTGCCAGAGGGAAGGGCTGTGAGTGAGCCCTTGAGGGAAGAGAGAGCAAGCTTGGGGTTGAGGGAAGGTTCTGAGTTAGGCCTCAGGGAACAGAGTGCCAGATTTGGGGAGCATAAGTCCAGTTTGGAGGTAAGGATCTAATGCTAGAGATGGGGCTGGATCAACGGTTACAGGCTGGACCCGAGACAGGAGGTCATCTCCACTTTCCATGGGATGGTGAGTGTCCTCTACGGTCTTGCCAGATGCCCTTCTGCTTGCTCGCCTCCCAGGAGGGGAACACTCCTGTTCCTCCAGGGAAACCTGTGGAACCCAGATTTACCTCCTGGAATTTCCTTCTCTGAACTAAGATGCCCACTGATTCTGTTCAGAGCAAGTCCAGGCCTTCTCCCCATGAAGCACCTTCAGAGATGGAATTCAGTGTGCAGTGGGCTCCCGGTCTGCTCCCGGCCCAACCTAGAATTTTGCAGGCTTCTCTTGGGACAGACTGAGCTGTTCCCTGCCCCAGAGCAGAGGGTGCACGATCATCTATTGATTGCCTGTCCCTTCAGGTCCAACCTCATGGGCACTAAGTTCACTGTTTATGACAATGGAGTCAATCCTCAGAAGGCATCATCCTCGACTTTGGAAAGTGGAACCTTGCGTCAGGAGTTGGCAGCTGTGTGCTACGTGAGTTGTGCATTCCTGGGTCTCTGGTCTCCCAAGTTAGACATGACACTGAGGACTTGCCCACTCTGTGAGCTGTCCCATCGGTCTTTGTGAGTAGACAGCACTTTACAGAGTTGGGCTGCCCTGTGTTGGAGTGGCCCGTGCGTGTCCTCAGAGCTCAGCCCACAGATGACCATCTGCTCCAGGTGCTCCGGGGAACCTGGCTGAGCTCTATGCAGCCCAGACTGGGAGTCTCCAGGAAAGGAAGCAGGAGGCCTGAGTTCTTGTTGGTACATCCTTCTACCCCTCCCTTCAGTGCCTGGGCCCTGCAAGGGCCCTACAAGGCCCTGTGCATAATCATCTCATGGAACTCCTGACCTGAGAGCTCAGTCCTATTTCCTTCTTTCATATAGATGAGGAAGCTGAAGCTCAGAGGTTGGGTCACTTGCCGGTGTCACAGCTAAGTGACCAAACTGGAATGTAAATACAGGGAATTTCTCTACCTTATTTTAAAATGAGGTATCGGTACCCCCATTAACCTGGGCATGGGTACTTCTTGGAGGCCCATTGGAGAAGCCATAGCTTGTTCTGTGTGAGCCTCTGATGCCACCTGCTGGTCACCTTTGGGAGGCGGCCCGAATCTCTTCAAATGCTTATTGAGCCCCAGCTAATACTGTTTGAGGCACCGAGGAGAGGGGTAAACAGGAGACATGGATTTATACCCTTATGGGACCTAAACCCCTAGTGAGGGAGACAAGCTAAAAAAAAACAAAAACAAAACATTTATAAGCAAAATAACGTTCCTGATAAACATGAAGAAGAGACCATAAAGCTGGGGTGTGAAATGTTCAGGTGTGTGTGAGCTTTTTGTGCAGATGGCAGGGAGGGCCTCCCTGAGGTAGCACCTGGGTGAAGCCCAGGAGGAGGGGAGAGCCAGCCACGGAGGCGTAGTGGGAAACACGGCCAGTGCTGATGGCCTGTGACTGGCATGCCTGGGGAATCGGGGGGGGGGGGGCGAGGGGGGCAAGTGCCGAGGAGAGGAGAGGGGCTGTACCACAGGAGCCTCACAGTCAAGGTAAGACCTTCAGTTTTTAACCTGCGTGAACAGTGGAGGCAAAAGCTGTGACAGCGGGCCTCCTTGCTGCTTTGTGAACAGACGGGGCCGGGGCAAGGTCAGAAATAAGGAATCCCGATGATGGCTGGTACTGTGGCCTCGGGTGGAGAGGTGCTGGTAAAAAAGTGGTCGCATTCGAGAGAGTCTGAAGGTAGAGTTGACATCATCTTCTGATGGGTCAGAAGTGGGTTGTGAGAACGACTCAAATACATCACCTGAGCACACAGAAGAACTGAGCTGTCAACTGAAGCCAGGGAGACTAAGAGGAGCTTAGAGATTCGGGAGCTCGGTTCCAGACGGGTAAACTTTAGAGATGCCGGTTAGACGTTCAGGTGGCAGTGGTACAGACTAGCCCATCAGCTTTAGTCCCTTCCACCTAGTAGGTAAGTAGAGTCCCTGGTAGGTAAATAGGGGCGCCACTGTCGCATTCTCTATTTCCCAGGAGACAAACGTCTTGGGCTTCAAGGGGCCGCGGAAGATGAGCGTGATTGTCCCAGGCATGAACATGGTTCACGAGAGAGTCTCTATCCGGCCCCGAAACGTGAGTCTCCCCCCACCCCGCCTGCTGCCGCCCCGGCGTCTGGGTGCACGTCTGGGAGCAGAACTGAGCTGCTGGGGGCGGGGCGGGGGCACATGGCATAAGAGCCCGAGCTCTAGGTGGAGGTCTAGGGAAACTAGGGATCCTACCCCGGGTGGCGGTGCTGCCCCGGCTCGGGGCCGGGCCTGACTGCGGCGAGGCTGCCTTCCCAGGAGCATGAGACGCTGCTGGCCCGCTGGCAGAACAAGAACACGGAGAGCATCATCGAGCTGCAGAACAAGACCCCGGTCTGGAACGACGACACGCAGTCCTATGTACTCAACTTCCACGGGCGCGTCACGCAGGCCTCCGTGAAGAACTTCCAGATCATCCACGGCAATGACCGTGAGTGCTTCTGCCCTTACTCCTTACGGTCCCCGTGATACCCAGGGCCTTTAGCTCAGGGGTCAGGTCACCCAGCCCTGCCTTTATAGGCCAAGCTCAAGGACGTGGGTTATATGGCTTCCATCGCAGGCCAAGGACTCTGACCCTGGGACGGTGGGGGGCCCCTGGAAGAACCTTCCTTAGAGCCCTGACCCTGGATTCCGTGGACTCAGCAGAGTCTCAGGTGTGGGAATACCCTCTGAACGGACTTTCTCTCTTCTCTGTCTCCTGGTATTCCTGTGCCTCTTGTTCTCCTTTGTGTTCTCCCTCTTTCCCACCACTTCTCCCACTTGTTTGACCTCCTTTGGGCATCTCTGCTCCTCACCTTCGCTTCCCACTTGTGATTTGAGTGTGTGTGTCCCTCCTCCCCTGCACCATCCCTGCTCTGTCCTGTGTGTGTGTGCATGCCCGTGCCTGGCTGCAGCGGACTACATCGTGATGCAGTTTGGCCGTGTAGCAGAGGACGTGTTCACCATGGATTACAACTACCCACTGTGTGCGCTGCAGGCCTTTGCCATCGCCCTGTCCAGCTTTGACAGCAAGCTGGCCTGCGAGTAGAGGGCTCCTTGGGCCCTTTGGGGTTGCCCAGCCTGGAGTGGAGCTGCCTGCCTGCAGAGACAGCCCTGCCTACCCTCTCTGTACATAGGCCTCCTGCCAGATGAACCTTCGGCTCTCAGTGGCTCCCTGGCCAAGGGAGATCTGGCTCCTCTGCCTCCACTGCTGGGACAGAGGACGAGCTGGGGGAGGTGTGTGTGTGAAGGGACCAGAGTGCATTCTTCCCATGCCCCAAGGTCCGCACACACATCCCCACTCTTGAGTTAGTATCTTGCTGCGATCATGTTTGCCAAGCTGGGCAGGCTTTACACTGGGAAGGTGGGAAGTATAGAGGGAGAGGAAGCACAACGCGGGGCTGCTGTGGCCCAGCCATCTGCTCAGCCTAGGGGTCCGGGACGGTAGGGCCCCCACAGTGCAGGGCACGGTGTGCATGTGTGTGTTGGGTACATCAATTTTACGTAGAAGGGCTAGGATTAGCTAGCAGGTCCTTTGCTAACTACAGAAAGTCTTCTGATTTCGGAAGGCCTCAGCCAGGCTAGGAGAAGTTACGGGGGTTTGGGAAAGGTAGATGAGTGGCAAGACCTTGTCAGGACCGTGGGGGCCTGGCTCTGGCTATGGGAATTGGTCAGCAGCTGAGGGTTCCCACCCATTTGATTCTCTAGGTTTTCTCTGCACAGAGGGAGTTGAAGCCAGAGGTTTTAGAGGACAGGCCCCGCAGGACACAGGCTCAGCATGCAGAACAGGCTCCTGGAACAGGTCCCCTGGACCAGGGCTATGTCAGGAGTCCTGTCAGCTGCCTGAGGAGCTTTCTGCTGAGCGACTCCCACACAGTGCCCGAGTCACCAGCCTCAGAGTGCACCAGGTAGGCGTGCCTGGGCCTCTAGCTGGTAGAGCACCATCCCTAGGACGTAGCATGCTCCAGGAAGAAGTTCTAGCTCCTGGTGCTTCAGCACCCAGGGTGGTCAGTCTAGGTTGTGGCTGCTGAGGATTTGTATATGTGGTTCTTCCAAGGTGGCAATGGGGCAGGGTAAAGAAGAGCAGGGAATATTTTAGAAAGGAGAGGTGGCAGGAGCCTCACAGTCCAGTGTGTCCTGTTAGGTGAAGCACATTGAGAAAACTGGGACTTGCACCGTGTCGCGTCACATCACTGGTCAGGGGCAGAGTTCAGAACTTCCGCTCCCTCAATTTCTTTGTTCCTCCCCTCCCCCTGGGAAACTACTCTCTGGTTCTCTGGCTTTCCTGGGACCTGGTCTGCATGCCCTCCCCCTTTTGCCTGATGACAGAGACTTAGAAATGTTGGAGCTGATGTAGGAAATTGAAACCATTTCGGTGGGAAATGAGGTAGTTCCCTACTGAAAGCTTCTTGAGCATCAGTTTGCTCAGAACTGCTCTGGGTGTGGCTTCTCCTCAAGGGCCGGCCTTCCCAAGGCTGTGGTCCCTTTCTCTATTTGGGTGTGATGGGTGAGGCGTAAGTGTTCCAGGGCTGGGCCTGACCTCTCCCGTCCATCCTCTTCTTTGGGTGGCACCCTCTAACCCCAAAGATGTAGGAACGCTAAGCCCTGGCTGGTCTGTCACTTACCCTGGCGGAGGCTCCTTGCCCAGACAGAGGTCAGAGATCAGTGGGAGGCAAGCAGTTGTTCCTCCTTTCAGAGGAGATATACTTGGAAAGGCTGTGTGGAGACTTTTTCAAGTCTACCTTTAACATTCTGTTGGGGCTCTGTATTGAGGTGGAGTTGTTTTGATCTAAGTAGAAGTCGTGTGTTCTCATTTCCTTATATTTGAAGATTTGCTGTGTTGAGTGCTTAAAGCAAGGATCTTTAGGATCTGTGCTTCTAAGCATGGATCTGGGAGAGGCCCCTCCACTGGTCTAGTCTCTGGACCACTCTTGGGGTCATCTGAGGGCTCTAGACTTTCTTATGCTGGGGCCAGTCCACTTCCCGGCGAGTGTGCCATCCTCCTTCTCACAGCCCTAGGCTGGCTTGCTCTCTCTTCTGACTGGGAAGAGACCTGAAGTTTAGGATGATGGAAACTAGATGTCTAAAGTCTGGGTCTATAATTTTAAAGTGGGACAGGCTGATTTTAGAGCATAGTGACAGGGAGGTAATCCTGGGGCAGCATGGAAAAGGTAGAAGCACAATGGCAAACTTTTGGACCCTGCCCTCTGTTAAGTACGCAGGAGAGCAGGGCGGTTGGATAGCTTGGTGGGGTCAGGAACATGGGTTGAGCTTCCCGGCCTGGCTATGGGGAAGGCAGCTCAGCAGCAAAACTCTGTTGGGCACTGAGTGACAGGCAAGAGCAGTTGAGTCACCTGCTCGACACCCATCTTCACAAGGTCTGTTCTTCAGACCCCCTTCCTGGTGATGCTGGTTTTGCCTGACCACTGGCCTCCTAGCCATGGGCCCAAAGACTCAAAAAGCTGCCAGGGCCCCTGGAGACCACCTGGGCTCAGCCTCTCCCTGGGAAGAGCTCTTACCCTTCATACCTTCTACCCAGATGCTCCTTGAGTGGGCAGGGGACTGGATGATGGGATGAGTAAGCCCTAACGGTGGCGGGCAGCTGGGGCCTGGGCAGCTCCTCTGTCACTGCCCCTGGGGCCACACTCCAAAACTCCACACCCTCTTTGCCCAAACGGCTCTTCTGTAGAGCAGTGATGTTCACTTCCCCACTCTTCTCCAATTCTAGCTTTTCTTTCCTTCTGGCTCCAAGGTGCTCTGTGTCTGTCTGTGTGTCTATGTGTCTGTGTGTACTTGGGGAAAAGGGCAATCTGCAAATCACCAACTGAGGTTTCTTATTACGATCATATTTCTAAGGATGAGTAGGAAAGGAATAAGGATGTTATGATCACCTGTGGATTTTGTTCATTTCATGCTCTTTGATCAGAAAGTAAACCTGGGAAAGTACCAGTTCTTTCTCCCAAGGGTTCTGATTAGGAGGATACCATCCAAGAAATTTTAGTTTTTCAGTTTCATTTTGCATTACTTGAAGAAATTGGTGTGTTACACATGCATGCTTTTGGATGGATTTGAACATACTCTAGTGAATGTGCCTTAAAAATCACGACACTAGTTCAAAAGGAGCAGGTAAAGGTCCAGAATCCTGCTGGAGACAGGTGTGAGAAGCCAGAGAATGTGAAAATCACTAGCTGAAGAGAACCTTTGGAGCCTGTATCCTTCAGTAACAAAAAGGGCAACAGCACTACAGAAGCAGAAGCTTGTCTGGAAATGGAGCATTTACCTCTAAGTAAGTCTGCATTTAGAGGCCGTTCTAAATCTAATAAGCAATGGTGAGGATTTCAAACCTAGTAAGTGCACGCTTTCCTCACAGCGGGGTCTGCAGTGAGCGGAGATGCTGGGCTGGCCAGGGCCATGGCTCTGTTACGCAAGCACAAATTCTGTCTCCTAGCTGGAGTCCCTAGTTTTCCCTTACCGCAGTAACACTGGCCTTCCCCCTCCCTAGGATTCTTTGCCCCAGCTGAGACCTCAGGATGCCAGGTGGCCCTCAGAGCACACTTTTCCAGATAGCTGACTGAGTGCTGTGTTGTGGTGCCCAGTACTGAAACGTAGCCACCCCCAGGAACAGGCTGAGGGATGGGCTCTTGTTTGAGTGTACTGGTTACCTGTCTTTCTGTACCTCCAGTTTGCAATTTTGTCATCTCAGGATATGGGGGGAGAGGCATAGCAGAAGTGTTGGGATAGATTTAACTTTCTGACCAAGTTGAGAGGCAAGTTGTCTTATAGAGAGCACTATTGCACTTAGTAGCTATGTGATTCTGAGCAAACCACATGATTTTTCTAGGTTTTTTTCATCTACAAACTTGAGGAGGTGGGGCTGTCAAAGCTTTCAGTAAGAATCAGGGTGAATGAAAATTGATCCTTGCTTTCATCACTATCTTTGGCTCATCACTGTGCCTTTTTTTCTTTCCTAAGAAACACATCACATCTCTTTCTTCTGTCCTCCTGCTCCTTTCCCTTTCCCCATCAAGGTCCAGGCAGATTAGGCCAAGATCCAGAGATTCCTGGAGTGTAATTTCGAGTTGCTTAGAAAGGGAAGCCTGACTCTGGCCTCTTTAATCCTGCAGAGTTTCAAAGGGGACTTGGTCAGGGTGGGCGGCACTTCTCTTGCTGGGAGCATCCATTTAGCCAGTTTTCCTAACACCTAGAATGTGTATGTCCATTTGCACAAGATTGTCTTTTCCTATTCTGGAGTGGTCAGACATTTTATTTTTGTTCAAAATTATCTGGAGTTTTAGACAAACTTGCAAAACTGTGCTTTTATTAAGTGACTTTTTGAATAAACTCTTTGGTATTCTTGAGCAAATGTATTTATTTACTGGTATGTGCAATGACAAAATTGGTATTTTCCCATGTTGACATTACGTATGTTGTAGAATTTAGTGTTTGTCTAAGTACAGACCATATAGCAACAAATTAAACTTGAACTGTTTCAACACTGCTGTGCACTTTTTTTTTCTCCTACAAAAGAGAAAACATTTCTTACCTATAAGTTTTTTCCTATACCATTCATTCCGTCTGTCCTAAGAGCCTGCAAGGGGGGGGGGGGTGGTGATTGGAAGGGCTGACAGCTTTAGAAGCACTATCACGTGGTGGGCTGAAGCTGTCCTCCTCTGGCCACATACCAGGCTGAGAAGGGCTGAAGAATAGTTAAGGATAGAAGATACTTAGGAACTAAACCGCTCATTCCTGCAGAGGGCTTCTCTAACCGAAGTATGCCCGGGGGGTGGGGACTGGTTCTTAGGAACAAAAGTAAGCAGAGTTGGGTTTTTTTTTTTACCCTCAATTTGGAGTTTTTATGTGGCCAAGATCCTATCATTACCATGGCCCAAGTCCTTGGCTCTGCCTCTGTGGGAAACCATATGCAAGTTCTTACCAGAGGTTTTTGTTGGGTTAGTGGTCAGGCTAAAGACAAATCTTTTAAATAGTCATGGCCAGGGTGACCATATATCCAAGGCAGTCCTGGTTTATACCTATTGTCCTGGCATAATTATAATTAAAGTTCTAACCTTTTCTCAAGGTGTCTTAGTTTGGACCATGGGTTATTCATCACCTAAACCATAGAAAGTAGAGAGAGTGTGGTTTTCATAGACCACTTCTTCTAACAGTCAAAAATACCTCCATTCTTCAACATGCCTTCCTTCCTGGGCCTAGTTTGTGGTTTTTTGGGGGTTTTTTTGTTTTTTTGTTTTTCTAAGATTTATTCATGAGAGACAGAGGGAGAAGCAGGCTCCATACAGGGAGCCCAACTCGGAACTCGATCCCGAGTCTCCAGGATCAGGCCCTGAGCTAAAGGTGGTGGTGCTAAACTGCTGAGCCACCGGGCTGCCCCTGGGTCTAGTTTTTTAGAGCATGTGCACCGCTAGTCCTGGAGTTCACAAGGCACTTTCCTTATGCTCCTATTATGACCAGGAAAGAGGCTCTCCTGACTGGTTCACCCACCTGACCAAGAATGGTTCCAGGAAAGGACCATGGACAGGAAAATAAGGTGAGGCCCTTAGTTCCAAGGCTATTTATCCCAAGAACTAGGACAGAGCACTGTGCACGGTGCTCAAAGATCACTGAGGACCTAGTACCTGATCAGGCTCACAGTTCAGACCATTTTTGAGAAGAAAGACATTAAGAAAAGAGCACACATGACAACAAAAGCCAGTCCTATGATTTTGGTCATCCCAGGTTGTATATACATATAATTGTTCTCTCTGAAGGACAAAATAATTTTGGAAAATCCAAAAAGTACTAATCTAAATGACTGATGAATACATCAAAATTTCTGAAATAGAAATATGCTAATATATCCCTGCTGTATAAGCCAACCAAGAGCTTGGGCAGTAAGAGCCATCCAGAGCTCTTAGTACTTCTGGCAGGACCTAGTTCCATGAGCCAGTTTCTCCCAAAGATCAACATTCAAAATAAAGACTTGGTTATACAACACCTTATATACCAGCCTCATAAAAATACCTGAACATCCATATACTTTTCACACTTGTCACTGTTACATCCAATACCACCTTTTCTGCCAAGAATGACCATTCTGTTCCTCAGCCACCTGGAGAAGTTCTTAGCATGCCTGAAGATCCAGCTCCCCAGGAAAGCTTCTTGGAAGTACTTTGGCAAAAATGATCTTTGTATTCTTGTAGATCTGGGTCCACATCTCAATTACAATGTAAAACTTTGTACAATAAGAGTAAATTAGCTAACAGTGAGTAGTTACCACGTAGGAGGTAGGAGGGCAAATGCTGTTTTACTGGCACTGATGATTCACATTCATTCCTCCTACCCACCGTGTGAGAGCTGGACTTCTACTCTCCTGCATCAGATGGGAGAAAGCCAAGGCTCAGCACAGGTAAGGAGCCGACAAGAGTCTACAGATAGAAAAGGCAGGGATGGAATCCTGACCAACATTTCTCTGCCTGCAAAATTCACAATCTCAAGCCCTTTTATAGTTAATCTTCATTTAAACAAATTGGACAAAGCTCCCACACTAAACTTCTGTTTCTTAAACGTAGGAATTGAGCCTCTGTTCCTACCACCTAGCTCTGGACAGTGCCTGCTAAATGAATAACTGAATGCATAAGTTAGAAACAAACACACATCTCTAATAAGGAACCATACATACTAAGGCAAAAAAAGGAACCAGGGACCCAGGACTCCTTACAAATCAACCACTTACAGTGAATGAAGGGGAAATAACAGGGAAAACAATTTATCGAAACAGTAAAGAGCACCTACATTATTTTTTTACCTTGGGCATTACATTACATCTAGATCATTTCCAGTACATTTTAAGCTGTACTCTTTAAAATGAATCAAAGGTTCTACACACGGATGCAAATACTTCTACAGACTCAATCTTCAATGACTTTTCTCTGTAACAAATGTTAATTTTAATAAGAAATGCCTACTAGTCACTGATGTGTTATCTTACTATGATCCCGTACCTTCTGACAGCAGTCTCTATGCTTATATGTGGGATTTAAACTTTTCCTGGCATCTCAGTCGACCAGGAACAATGGAATTCCAAAAGCCTTATCTACCTTTACATCATTTCTTAGTTTTCAAGTTTTCCACATTTCATGACTAGGGATGATCTTGGAAATGTGTCCTCTTTAAATTCTCAGGTCTTACATGTAAACTGAATTCACTCATCCTTACTCGACAGGATATATGGGTGCCATCTTATCTCAAGAAGACACATGACAGGTGGCACCTTAGAGATGAGGCCTTTAGTTTGGTCAAAATCCTCCCAGTCTTAACCTACCTCCTGCTTCCCTCCAGCTTTCTCAAAAGACCCAGTTACCTGAATATAGAATAGTCTCTTCCCCTGGGAACTGCTATATTGGTTCTCTGCAACAGACATACACTGCAACTTTCCTTGCGGGCTGGTGCTTTGTCTATAAGCTCAGTCCTCCTCATTTGTTTCAATTCATGTGGTAAGAATAAATTTCCCAGAGGGCACAACATTTAGAAATTGCTTCTAGGCAAGGCTTGTGATTAAGTACACGGATTCTCTCCCTAGCTCTGACCCTCTGGCCTGAGGGTCTCACGGAGGAGCACCACCCTTACACAGGCTTTCATGTAGCCTTAACAGCCTCCAGCATTGGCTCTGCAGGGCAAGGACTGTGTCTATTTAAAGCTCCCTCTGGCCACTGAAGGCCAGAGGTACAAAGGTGCTTCTGGGCTGACAGTTCTGTGAAACGGAACAGGGATAAAGGAAGCTAGAGATCCAGCAATACCAGAGTAACAGTCCCCCAACAGGTCTCTGGACACATTCCCTGGTGATCGGGGCAGCAACAGTGCTCCTAAAAAGGCCCTCACTGAGAAGGGGCTTCAGTTCACACAGCGGAGCGGAGGCTTACCCTGCCTCTGGCCCCATCATACCCACTAACAAAATGTTCTCTTGAATCAGGGGACCACTAACCTGCTCAAGGCCTGCAGAGTAAGGCATCTCGGACTCTGAAACCTTCACTTTTGCAACGTTAAGTCCTCATGATGTATAAACTGATGTTTGTTCACAGGTAAACCATCTGCTACTCCTGGCATGAAGAGTCAGACCTCTGCCCCTGAGTGTACAATAGCTCAAACATATTTACTCAGTGGATCAACTCTGGTGGAGGGAAAGCATGAAGAGACAGTGAAGCTGTACTGTATTCATACTAATTGCTATGGTGTTTTACAAGGTGACAGGTGTGTGAGCACCAGGAAGGATATATGATATCCATGGTAGTGGCCTGATTAGCTAAGATACTTAAACACAGAATGAAGTTCAGGGCACAGGGCCAAGGATGAAATCAGAGGAGAGAGAGGTCACCTTGGGACTAGAGTAATGGATACTTCCCCAAACCAGTAGTTTTCAACTCAAAACCCTGGGGGTTCCGCTTCCTCAAGGTGGCACCTGTATGTGCTTTATCAGGGCTGATGCCTAGGCCTTCATCTCTGAAGTCTTGGGCCCATACTTCCTTGGTGATTTCCTCTTGCTCAGTGTAAGTGTCTGCACTGAATCCAGCATTCTCTGCCAAGACTGCGGGATCCTCTTCTTCATTAGAACAGCAGGAACAGGTTTCTGGCTTTGGGTCACATGAGGTAAGAGAATTCTCTTCCTGGGCTCTGGGGTCAGTGGGTATTTCCCAACCCAAATGGTCTGATTCTTCACCTTCTAGGACTCCCATTCTTTCTGCTATTTCTTCAGCAGAGGGCTCCCTGGGGTCAGGGTAATCCACCAGGATTGTTTCTTGCCTACGCTTGATGCAATCTGAAAGGTCATAAATTGGATAAGTCTCTTCAGGGTAACCTAGAGAAAAAAGTAGCACAAATTTTTACAAAGAACATCTCTTCAACAAAAAGTATCAGGCTGTAAGAGGCTTCTCAGGCAGCAGCTATCCTATCCCAACAAATCTAGCCAAGAAACCTCTAAGATGACTAGCAGTTCTACAGTTTTACTTGAGTAAATCCTTAGTGCTCTGGAACACTATCCCAGTGTTTTCTGAAATACAACAGCTCAGAAGAAAATTCCTTCTTAAGTGCAGGTTGGTTAGGGCAGAAGAGACATCTCACCCCTCTGGCTTCTGCAGTAGTGATGAAGATTAAAAGCAACATGAGTCTTCAGTTAAAAAAAAAAAAAAGTTCTGAACACCAGATGGAGAGAGCATAGCTCAAGGCTAATGTTTATAATTTCTATTTGGATCCATTTCCAAATCTTCCTGGGGCAGGGAGAAGACGACGACTAAGCTCTTTGAAAAGAAATACCATGAAGGCTTCTACTAATCGAAACAACTGAAATGGCTCGCAAGTGTCAGAAAGAGCAAGCACACTTCAGCAAGACCTGCCCAAGGTCCCGAAGGACAAGCCCCACGCTTCCATAAGACAGAATTCCCATTGTTGGCTTCTTAGTCTTCACAAAATGGGACAAAAGACGACAACAAACCGGTAAACAAAATGAGTAATACTGGTGCTGAATCCCAGCTATGATAATGAGGAAAGACGAAATGTTGCCAAATTAAAGAATGAAATGAAATAAATCTGTGTCAGCCAAGCTGCGCCCAAGCGGCAGATGGGCCTCGCTGGAGCTCATATGCCAGTGCTGGCAACAGCAGCTATGCATCCTACACAATGTAAAAGAAAGGAGAATTTAAAATCCATTTGCGCATTATGATAATTGGCAAGTTCAACCCTAATGCAAACTACTCTTTGCCTGCAAATTCTGAAAAGCAGAAGTCTTTTTTGATGCAGTGTAGTGTGTGTGGAGAGACATATTTTAACAACATTTACTGGTGGTTTTTTTTTTCTGATTATAAGGCATACAGACTCATTGTAAAAAAAATTTTAAAAACAAAGTTTTAAAAAGAAAACACAAATCACCCAGAATCCCATCACTGATAACAATTTGTCATGTTACTTCTGGCCTTTTTATCATATATAAACATACTATGTGTAAAATGTTATACCCTGATTTTTTCATTCAACTTCTATCATGAGCATTTCTCCATACCATTAGGCATTTTAAAATTGGCTGCAAAATATCCCATCATACGGCTACATAACTGACATGACTGGCCATGCTTCTTATATAAAACATGTAGATTGTCTCCAATTTCCCCTTATTCTAAATAACATGGAAGTTAAGATCTGAATATACATCTATGTTCATTTCCCTATTTCTTTAAGATATACCACTAGAAATGTAAGAACCAATGGGACTAGACCTTTTCAAAGCCTGTTTTCACACTCCACCAAATTACTTTCCAGAAAAATGTATACTTTTAGTCCTACCAGTGATGTAAAAAACTGTCCATCTTATCACACCCTCATCATCACTGCCAGTAGCATGTGAAGAATCTCGCTGAGTCAGTCTCAGTTCACTTGCTTATTAACTCACTGTGGACAGAATGCTAGGTAAAACAGAGCTTAGCCACCCAAGGCCCTCACAGCCTCCTTGGTCAAGGGCAGGGGCTGGAGAAGCTTACTTGCTGGACTTGCTGCAAAATGGACTGAATACGTAAGAGAAGTCCATTTTCTGACATGTTCCTGCCTTCTCCCCACACCAAGGACAAAGCTTACCTTTGAAGTCCCATGGCTATCTGCTTTGGCTTAAGAGGGGAAGACCTGCTGAAGAAAACCAGTGACTCACAAATGGGCTGCTGAGGTATCCCATTTTCAGCCAACATCACTGGTTATTCAAGAACTTCATTAAAAATATGAGCAAGCTACAAAACTCATTGATCCTATGAAGAAGTCAGCAAGGGAACCAAACTAAGTAAACTATGTAAACAGCCCCTAAAAAAAAAGTCAATGTTGGAAACAGGAATTAATATCAATCAACTTGTAATTGATATTCCCAGCAATCAAAATACTACCAATACTGATTAAAACCCAACCAGGCTTCAATATAAAAAGGGGAGCAAATAGAAAATGAGAGTTATTAGAAATAGAAAATCTTTAAACTTGAGAAAGGGAGAAAATAGATTAAAATGGGCATGGATGGCTAAAAGCCAAATTAGTATATTAGAAATCCAACTACAGAAATTCTTTTTTTAAAAAATAAGAAATAAATAAAAATTAAAATTAAAAAAATAAAAAGAAATTCTTTTAAGACAGAGGTAAAAATGACAAAGAAATGGAAATTGTGAGAAAAAATAGACTACACTGAAAACTGTTCCAGGAGGGATCCCTGGGTGGCACAGCGGTTTAGCGCCTGCCTTTGGCCCAGGGCGCGATCCTGGAGACCTGGGATCGAATCCCACGTCGGGCTCCCAGTGTATGGAGCCTGCTTCTCCCTTTGCCTGTGTCTCTGCCCCTCTCTCTCTCTCTCTCTCTCTCTGTGTGTGTGTGACTATCATAAAAAAATAAAAATTAAAAAAAATAAATAAATAAAAAACACTGTTCCAGGATATCCAATCTCAGAGTTACCGGAATTCCAGAATGAGGGCATAGTAGGTTAAATGGAAGCAATAATCAAAAAAAAATAAAAAATAAAAAAATAAAAAAATTAAAAAAGATCCTTTAGCTGAAGAAAAACTCGTCTTCACATGGAAAAGACTCACTAAATGCTAGGCAAAAATACTACGAAAAATCCACACACTCATACACACTCAGATATAGGCCAATGAACTTGCCCAAATTCAAATGTTTAAGTATTAAAAGATGATAAGCTTCCTGGAGATCCCTGGGTGGCTCAGTGGTTTGGCTCCCGCCTTCTACTCAGGGCGTGACCTTGGAGTCCCGGGATCGGGTCCCACATCGAGCTCCCTGCATGGAGCCTGCTTCTGTCTCTGCCTCTCTCTCTCTCTCTCTCTCTCTCTCTCATGAATAAATAAAATCTTAAAAAAATAAAAATAATAAAATAAAAGATTATAAGTTTCCAGCCAGAAAACAAATTAGCTGACTAAAAGCAGATTGCCTATTGAGAAAAAGAATCAGACTGTGCTAAGATTTCTCATTTTCAACATCAAATGAAAGATAATATAGCAATGTTTTCAGACTTATAAAAAAATTGCATGATCAAATAATTATTTGTATAAAAGTGAAAACCGGTATGTGTAGATATCCAAGTACTCAAAGTACACCAATCTATAAGGGGTTACTTGAGAGGGTAGGAAGTGGAGGTACTTAAGAACACTGACAAATACAAAAAAATAAAATAATTTGAGCAAAAACATACCATATGTGAGAAAGTGGTGAATGATGAAGAATTACCAATGTAAACTAATTATTGATAATGTGATTAGAACTTTAATGCCATTGTTGAATACTTAAAATAGGCTATATAAAATTCTACATAATTTCAACAACCTTAAGAGTCAGACAGAAAATAAATGTGATGAAGATTTTACCTTATTTGGGAATAAGGTATACAAAAAGATTTGCAATTTGAAGGAGAAAAATTCCAAATTTCCATTTCTTTGATTACTAAGAGAGACTGAAAGACTTTTTAATGTTTTACAGTAGGGTGCATTTTTTTTTTCTTTTCTGTACTGCTTACAAAGGAGGAGATCAGTTTATAAAGTATAGAACTCCTTATATACTAAAGATACCAACTTTTTAGTCATTTGTCACATATTTTTCTAGTTTAGTGTTGGCTTTAAATTGTATGGTATTGGGATCCCTGGGTGGCGCAGCGGTTTGGCGCCTGCCTTTGGCCCAGGGCGCGATCCTGGAGACCTGGGATCGAATCCCACGTCGGGCTCCCGGTGCATGGAGCCTGCTTCTCCCTCTGCCTGTATCTCTGCTTCTCTCTCTCTCTCTCTCTCTCTCTCTCTCTCTCTCTGTGACTATCATAAATAAATTTAAAAAAATAAAATAAATTGTATGGTATTTTCTAGTCTATAGAAAGTAAAGGTTTTATATATTCAGGCTACATTATCGTTTCCCTTAAAATTTTCTTCATTGCTTTTAAAAAATGTAATTGTAGATTCACCTATAGTTGTAAAAAAAAAAATCCTGCATGCCCTTTACCCAGTTAATATCTTTCTAAACTACATGACAGAACCACAACTAGGACATTAATATTGATAGTTAATACACAGAACATAGCTATCACCACCACCAGGATCCTGTATGCTCTTTCACTGCCACACCTACTCTGGCCTACCCCTATTTCCTCCTTAAACCTTTGGCAACTACCAGTCTGTTCTCCATCTCTATTTTGCCATTTCAAGAATGTTATATAATTGTGCAGTATGGAACCTTTTGGAATTAGACTTTTTCACTCAGTGTAATTATCTGGAAATTCATCCAGGTTGTTGCGTGTATCCATAATTTCTTCTTATTGCTGAGTAACCGTTCACCTGTTAAAGGATGTTTGGGTTGTTTGCAGTTTGGGGCTACTACAAATAAAACTGCCATAAATATTCATGTTCAAGTTTTATGTGAACCTCAGTCTTCATTTCTGTAATAAATGCCCAGGAGTGCAACTGCAAGGTTGTATGGAGTTGGAGGTTTATGAAACTGCCATAATATTTCACAGAGTAAGTATACATCCCCACTAGCAATGTATGAATGGATCTAGTTTCTCCATATTCTTGCCAGCATTTGATGTTGTTACTGTTTTTTATTTTAGCCATTCTGATAGAGATGTAGTGGTATTTCACTGTGATTTTAATCTGTATTTCCCTAGTGGCTAATGATGTTTAGCATCTTTTTGTGTGCTTATTTGCCATCTGTATGTCCTCTTTGGTGACAGTCTGTTCATATCTTTTGCGCATTTCCTGTTTTCTACTGTTGATTTTTGAGAGTTCTTGTATACTCTTAAAAAAAAAAGGACTTATAGAAAAAAAAAGGACTTATATCTAAAGA